CAAAGAACACCCCAAGAACACTCCAGGAACACCAGAGAACACCCAGGAACACCCCAGGAACACCCAAGAACACCAAGGAACACCCAAAGAACACCCAGGAACATTCAAGAACACTCCAGGAACACCAAAAGAACACCCAGGAACACCCAGGAACACCAAAGAACACCTCAAGAACACCCAGCAACACCCCAGGAACACCCAAAGGACACCCAGGAACACCAAAGAACACCCCAGGAACACCAAAAGAACACCCAGGAACACCAAAAGAACACAGGAACACCAAAGAACACCCCAGGAACACTCCAGGAACACCAAAGAACACCCCAGGAACCCTCCAGGAACACCAAAGAACCCCCTAGGAACACCAAAAGAACACCCAGGAACACTCAAGAACACCCAAAGAACACTCAAGAACACCCAGCAACACCCCAGGAACACCCAAAGGACACCCAGGAACACCAAAGAACACCCCAGGAACCCTCCAGGAACACCAAAGAACCCCCTAGGAACACCAAAAGAACACCCAGGAACACTCAAGAACACCCAAAGAACACTCAAGAACACCCAGCAACACCCCAGGAACACCCAAAGGACACCCAGGAACACCAAAGAACACCCCAGGAACACTCCAGGAACACCAAAGAACACCCAGGAACACCCAAAGATCACTCAAGAACACCCCAGCAACACCCAGCAGCACCAAAGAACACCCCAAGAACACCAAAAGAACACCCCAGCAACACCCCCACGCCAGGGGGGGAACCCTGGGGCACCTCAGGCCGAGGCCTGGGCCCCGTTTTGGGGCTGTCGGTGCCGTTTCGGTGACTCTCGCTCCGCCTGTGCCGCAGGGGCCGCTCGGAGCAGCCGCGGGTAAGAGGAGCCCCCCAAAAGTGGGGCCCAAAGGACTTTTTTGCCCCCCCCCAGCACAGCTGTAAGTAGCCCCTTGTTTTTTTTGTCTCCCCTCTTTCCTTCCCCTTTTCCTCCTCTTTTCCCACCCAAAAATGAAGCGCCCGAGGTCTCCCGAGGAGGGAGGAGCAAAAAAAAAAAACCCCCACGGTTTTCTGACTCCCCCCCCCCCCCCCC